ACAGAGAGCTTCAGGAAGGCTCCGGCCGGCCCGGTGAGATCCGGGAACATAAAGAGGAATGAACCGGCCTTACCCTCCCTCAGGTTGGGGGCACCTACAGGGCTTCATTATCTTACTGCCAGTAAAGGGGAGAAGCCTGAGAGGGCCCCGCAGATGTGTAATTGGTTTTGAATTTATTATAGAAATGTAAGTCTTATTTAATACCTAACTCCTACACTCAGGAAAAGTCAGACTTGGCAAAGGAATTCACCTTTAAACCAACTCGGAAAGCTTTCACTTAAATGGGGAGAATTCTGGAAAACTAGAAATGACTGTCAGGAAGATGAAGTTAAAACCATCCTGGCTGGACTATTACAGCTTTGTGTACAGACACTTCATGGAATCCCGTCACACAGAGCTAATCAATGAACACACTCCACCACCTTCTCCAGCTCTCCCTAGGAGGACCCTCAAACATGGGAAGATGACCCTCTATTCTTGGCAGTCTGTGAGACTCTGGCTTCCAAAGAAATCTTAAAATGCATCAAAATGAGGTCTGAATTCATGGCAGTGATCACTGATGGAACAATCATCCGGAAAATCCAGAAAATGCTTACTTTAACCTTATTTTCAATAGGTTATCATCAAAACCAAAACATGATATTTGAAATGGTCTCAGTACTTTGGGACCTGTAAGAGAAGAGGATAGCCCATCTTTTGAGAAAACATCCTTTTCTATATTGTAAATGAACGCAGCGGACCCCTCACACTCGCTCACTTGACTGCAGCAGTGCCCGTCAACTGGCCTCTCATGCAGCCTGTGCCCTCGTCATCCTCCTTAGCTGGAATCTGAGACCTGCCGCTGATAAGGTGTGTCACTATTTTATATATAAATAGGGAGGAAAACGTTAGTTAGAAGTTCTTGACTTAGAGACATTAAAATGGAAAAAATACCCTCCACTCCCACCAAGTGAGTCTTGGCACAGATGGGAGGGCCCAGGCCACAGTGCAGGGGGCCAGGACTAGGTGCTCTGCTCCCAGGTGGGGGCTGGATGCTGGCCCAGCTCCTGCATAGCTGTGGGACTGGGGCAAACCGATTCACCTTGCTGGGCCTTGCTTGGCTCAGTTTTGTGGAAAACTGTATTTAGCTGATACTAACAACACCTGCTTCTCCCTGTACTCCTGAGAGAACGGATTGAGGTCCTGTTACAGGACTCATACGTCCCCGAGCTGCTTCGCTGTCTGGTGGCTGCCGTATTGTAAGTCTGCACGAGTAGAATTGAGAACTTAACAAACACGAAATGATTTTCCTTCCTCCGAATGACTTCACCTAGTCTCAGCTGCCAAACCTTCAGACACCGTTTGAAATAAATGGTAATTAACGGCTGTGCTTCCTCGGGAAATAAAATGATCTCTACGATGGAGTCACAGCCGCCCCTTCCTAGGCTGAAGAATCACTCAGAGCCCTAAGGGGCTAATGACAAATAACCAGAGGATGAGAGTTCGCGCTTGCCTGGCACGACATTTGCCTGCTGCAGCTTCATTTTTGCTTGAAGTGAAAATCTGCCTTTTTGCTTCCTTCCTAGTCCCTTATGAACTTCCAGGTGCTGCGCTGGCCGCCTCTGCCTGGGAGGAATAAGGGAACTGGCGTGCACCGAGCTCAGCTGAGCAGAGAGGCAAGTCTTCCAGGCTGTGGACCAGTCGCTGCACCTCTGTGGACGGGGATGGCCACCGGCTCAAACACTGATAAGCTGCAAACAGCATCAGGCGGCTTTTCCTGAATACGACGTGAACACACGCGCACATGCCTGATGGCGAATCAGAGCTCACACAGCTAACAGGAGGACAAAACGGTTCTGGCCCTCTAGCCGCTTCCAAATCAAACCAGTGAGAAGCTTTTCTTCCCCTGCACGTGAATAATTATGAGGCAGTGATCGCACAACAAAGACTTACTTTCACTCTCAAAGCTGTCATGACTTAAAGTAAACATGTGACAGCTAATATCTAGCAATAGAAAAGAAAAATGAGTGCTTAACTAATCAGGCTCCTGTTGCTAGAATCTTCTGCCAGCTTAAGGGTTTGTTTAAACTAAACCCTCGCATTCTGACTGCTCATTGTGGTTGATAATGGACCTGATTTCCAAAGGTCTGATCGAAGTTCACTTGGTGGCCATTTCATGGGAATAACCGAAAACTTCTATAAACTCAGATATCTATGTTATTAGCATATAAACGGGTCAATATTCTATATAAGATGATATCAAGCATTTCCTGTTAATAAAGAGCTTGTAAGTGTCCTGTGAGTGTTTGGATAGCACATGTAAACACCATCTCAGAGTGGGGCTGTTACATGACCCACATAGGAACAGCAAACCCAAGCACTGAATGATAAAACTCAAACCTCCTATCTAGATATCGGGGCCAGAACACTACAAATGTAATACAGCTTACCAGTGTTTCGAGATCCTGTTTCATCATAGGATAAATTTTTCTTTTGGTGCTTTACACGGTTATTAAGGATTAAAGTACCTATTAGACTTTTCAAATTATTGGAAATAACACATAAACCATGATGTTTTTAGACCCTTAGAAACTCAGGAACCTCAGTTATATTAAAATTTCAAAAGTGACACCAAGAAACATAAAGTAATCAGAAGATCACCCCATAGAGTGTCACTTTACTCTCCAGAAGTGTCACTCCTCATGGGATAATTTTTAGAATGTTGGTCTATCACCATCTTTATACATGAGGAAATTGAGGCCCAGTCTAGAAACAGGCAGGAACACAAACCAGAAGGGCCAGATGGACACTGGGAACCGGTCAGTTTCCGGCTAGGTAGCCGGCTCTGTGAAGAGCGTGGAGTGAGGAAGGAAGCTGGGCTTCATAAAAGCAAGAAGAAGGCCCCAGGGAGAGCTGAGCGTGGAAGGGCAGTCCCCTCACACAAAGATCTACTAGGCCCAAAGCTGAGTTAGCTTCTGAGTCTGAGGGCACCTGGTGAAGGTGCTTCCCCTGGGAATAGGGGGTTGTCACTCCCTTAGACTCTGGGCGGCGAGAAACAACCCCCCTGGCCAAGACTAGCGTGAGTTCAGGAGTGAGTCGCCGCCCAGCCCTACCAGAGGAGAGAGCAATCATCCCCTTCTCTGCTCCTTTTGCCTCCAAACCAGCTCATGGTGCAGGACTGAGCAGGAGGCCAAGGTCTGACCTCTTGGAAGGGTACTTCCTGGGCCACCTGTCCCTGGCTTCCAACCAGGCCCACCCTGCAGGAAGGTGGGTTAAGAGGCAGGAGGGAGGGAGGTCAGAGTGTGGCCCCTCATTCCCTCCTGTGGCTCCTGTGGCCCTGGTCAGTGGCTCCCCTTCCCTGAGCCTCACTCCCTCCTGGGACCTTCACCTCCTGGCTGTTTCTCTTTCACTCTTGGGTTCACAGTCACCCAGCTGAACAGGAGTCTGTCACTTGCCAGACCCCTGACTCCACACCAGGGAATAGAAGGTGCTGAGTGAATGCCCTGGCTCATACAAAACTCTGCCTACTGGCAAACGTGGGCGTTGACACCTGCAGGATCTTACAGAGTAAAATGGAAGCCCTACATCCATCTTTAAAATAGACGGAACTTCCAAACCACCAATTGTCGACCCCCTCCAACTGCTGCCGTGCGGCTCCCCATGGGAAAAGACGCTTCACCCTCGGTGACAGAAATACCCTTGGGTCTGAGTCTCTGTATCCTCCGTGGAGGTAAAATGAAGGTGAATTTCTCCATCACCTCAAGGAAGCTGGACCTCTGGGCTACAGAGGCAGCCCCAGCCATGTGGTCTGGAGACAGGGAAGAGGGTGGGTGTGGGGTGGGGCCCTGTGGAGGAACAGAGCAGGCAGGGGAGCCGGGGAGAGGTGTGTGGCCCCAGGGAAAACTGCTCATCCTCGAGGATGACAAGTTTAGAGCCCAATAGTTCCATCGCTTTTAGAATAAAGAGCTAGTCTTTAGGAAAGAGCCCTGCTATGTGGCCAGCACATCTGGTTACTAAAGAGAGAGGCGTGTAACATACTAAAATACTTTTCATTAAGTCTGTAATTAAAAAATTACACCTACAGTGAAGAAGCATCAGTTATTTAAAATACAATTAAAATATGTTTATCTTATTCCCTGGCTATGCTGGAGAAAGTGAGGGTTAAACATGTCCTCTTTGCCAAAAGTCCCTTTAGCTGAACCTGGAAGAGAGGAGACAGCAGCCCCTCAATGCAGGTGCATAAAAAGAGCGCTCTGGGCTCCCGGGAAGGGACAGTGTGAGGTCCCTGAGTGGAGAGAGGGGCCGGGGCGGAGGGAGGGGACGGTGTAAGGTCCCTGAGTGGAGAGAGGGGATGGGACCAGCTGGAGGGGGTGGTGTGAGGTCTCTGAGTGGAGAGAGGGGCCGAGGCCAGCAGGAGGGGA